CGAGGTCTCGAATTAGGAAGCCTTACACGATCTCTGTATTCACGTCCATTGGGCAGATTATTCATATCCTTATATCAGATCTTTGATAGGTCACCCTAGGTTTTCTTCTAACCCTTGCCTATTTCAGTAAATAGCGCACGCTAATGATGTCTGTGTGTTAGTTTGCGTAATACACGCCCCAGCTGTTCTAATCTACGAAGGTTAAGCACTTTCTGTTCAGAAAACCCTAAACTCGGTGTCTAACCCCGGTATTGCTCGTTCTTTTGTCTCATTAGACTCATAACCACCACGTGCCTAAATAGCGCATCAATGAGTTGAATAGTATTGCTGTGTTCGCTTTAATTTTTTAAATAGATTATGGAAACGGTGTTAGTTATTTTTAACGTGAGGAACGTGGAAACTGTTACATTTCTGTATGAGGCATTTCCTATTCTTGTATGCGATCTTCGCAAGTATAATTATTGGAAGTACTTCCATGACATTCAACTGAATAGATTATTTTATTATTTTTACAGGAAGCAAAAAAATGGCCTCCATTCTCATTACTTCCACCGAATGCATCAGATAATAATGCCGGCACAGTGAAATTGAAACACGAGTTACCAACAGCCGGTGGCACATCCTTTGCACTACCTCCAACTAGTGACTGGAGATCACAAGCACCTGGAGGTGCCAATTCACCCCTGTTTGGATGTGGAGATCGGTATTCAAAAAGGCTTAACATGTTGAAAAAGCACCATCCTCGGTTTGATGATATAATTATGTGCCTTAGATATAAAGTAAGTTTTTACCATCAATTGGTAATATCCTAATTGTACTGCACAGAATACACATTTCTGTTGGATTTCCATCACGCATAAATCTATCGTAAACATTGTTTACTACCTTTTACCTTCGATTGTGTCCAACCGTCAGAATGAAAAGGTGTATCAGTATTCTCGTTTAGAATGAGGTGGTTCTGATGATAATAATAATAGTTCAAAATTTTGTTTGGTATATTTAAAGTTTTGATGTCAGGATTATGAAAAATTCAGTAGCCTCGGTAGGATTCTAACCCATGCATCGACGCCACCTACGCTTTTGTACAGCGCACGCTCTACCAGCTGAGCTACAAGGCCACACCAATAGCACTGATCTTTTCACATTCGAATTACCCATTCAACTTACAGAGGCATATGGCATCCACTAATTAGCATGTAAGCTGACCGCCCCGATATCAAAACTTCAAAAATGTCAAACAGTAATTTGAACAAGTAACTTTGCCTTAGAAGTTCATTCGATGGACTCCGGTGAATTCTAGAGAAAACTTGTCGGGGCAGTCAGCTTACATGCTAACTGGTGGATGCCATATGCCTCTGTAAATTGGATGGGTAATTCGAATGTGAAACAGATCAGTGCTATCGGTTTGGTCTCGTAGCTCAGCTGGTAGAGCGTGCGATGTACAAAGCGTAAGCGGCGTCGATGCGTGCGTTGGAATCCCACCGAGGCTGCTGAACTATTCGTAATCTCGACAAATTATAATAGTAACATATCCTGTTATTTGATGCGTATTGTATATGCTGATCTACGTAAGATTGGTTAGAAAATCAAATGGACATTGCGTAAAATCACACGCAGCGGTGAATATAATGAAGTAGCTTGCTTTTATCGTCCACGACTTCTCCATTAGCAAACAAAAACAAAAATAGGCCAATTAACCTGATTCGCTTGAGTAATGAACCGCAGACGAGTTTTCTACCCAGCAGTGTTCCCGATCTGCTGAGTCACCCGCTGTACATATTTAATTAATTAGCTGATTAATATTTGTTTAATTTTATTTTAGAAATATGACAGAAATGTTTTTGATGGCCGACAAAGAGCACTGGGCAGCTGTTTAGTCCTGTTTAGGACTCGTTAGCGGTATCATTGTAGCCGAAACCGAGTCCGAGCTTACAGCAATGGTTCGCCCGAGTTCACTACATAAAGTGGTGTTCGACAGGTTTCTACTTACCTTAGTTATAGATTTGATAATGGAGGCAGACCTATACCCGTGCGGGGATAGTGGCATCGATTTGCTCTCAGGTGGCAGACTGCCTGATCTAGAGTATGCAGACGACATTGTGCTACTAAGTGAAGATCCAGGTAGGTTGCAACCTTTTCAGCTTAGTTTGAGTGTTAGTTTAGCCATATTAGGTATGCGGTTTGCACCGTCAAAGTGTAAAATGTTGCTCCAAGATTGGGTTAGTCCAGTCCCCAGCCTCATCCTGACCGCGGAAGTAATAGAGCAGGTGGATAAGTTTTGATATTTGGGCAGCTACATCTCACCTGGAGGACGCATCACAGATGAAGTGTCGGCAGACATACAAAAGGCTCGATTGGCATTTGCCAACTTGAGATATCTGTGGCGTCAGTGTTGCTTTGCGGTGCAGAGACTTGGCCATTACGGGAACAAGATAAAAACAGAGTGTCGGTGTCCGAACACTGCTGTCTACGTAGCATTGCACGAATCTGGTGGGGTAACCGGACGAGCAATGCTGAGGTTAGGCGTAGAGTTTTAGGTAGTTGCGGTCGACCACTAGGCAAGTAGTCGACCTTCATAGATTACGCTGGTTGGGACATGTGTTACGTATGTCACCAGGTAGGTTGCCACGGTCTGTTGATGATGCTGGCTGTGGGTTTCACTCTTTGGAAGATCGTTAATTTCCGAATTACAAAGATTTCTTTGTATTTAACTGTATTTACCTCGTGGGGAAACAACGATCTGCCAATGAGTGAAACCCACACCTAAGATCATCAACAGTGTCTTGTACCTATTTTAAAAACCAACTGGAGTAATGAAACATTCATCTGAAACACTGGGTCCCCTTTATCCTATCTCATATACTGTATACCAGTTCACCTGCAGTTGCGGTGACGCATACATAGGCAGAACCAACCGTCAATTATCACAGCGGATGGCCGAACACATTCCAAAGTGGTTAGTAAAGTCAGTGACGCAACCTATGTCTAGTAATCAGATGGCCACACATAACCCGGGGTCATCAATTGCAAAACACCTCATGACAACCAAA